TGTAGTTTGTGTATAATTTGTATGTATATCCATTTAATTGATGAGGAAGCAGTAATTTTAAAAGACTTACAATGCTAATAAAAAATCAGGAGCATTTATATACTGCAGTAATATTGAAAATGGTCTATTTCTTGTTAGCTGAATGGAAGAAAACAAAAAGAGATTGAAACACAAGAATGAAAAGGAGATACAGATCAAACATCATAGCTTGCTCTCAGCCTTGATCTTCTATCAAAAGCTTTCCACTTTTCAGTTATAACAGATCTCACTTAGGTTTCTGAATGATCACCACATTTGAACTTCAGGAATACCCTCTGAGTAGCTCCCTGCCAAGGGACTGGTGGCTTAGGCAGTTAGAAAAAAAAAAGCCATAGCACCTCTCCACATCTTTGTTACCACCTTGCAAGAAGTACTTGAAGTAGTTGTGCAAATTCAGATGCTGCCTTTTTAACCACTCAGCTGGATTTTTCCTTAGTTTGGCTAATTAAAGGTATTCATACTTAAAACTTTATAAGACAGTAGATGGCCATCTTGTTTTGTATTTTAATTAAATCATTAATAAAAAATCAGAGTCTTAAATATATTTGTATTATAGTGTATTGAGGAAAATACTCTGTAGAAGGGGAAACATCTCCTATGACCTTTAAAGGACTGGTTTGATTTTAGTCCTGTTATTTATATGCAAAAAGAAAAAAAAAAAAGGAGCTGTCTAGTGGTTTGTAATAAGTTTCCAGAGTGCAAAATCTTTAGAGTGATACTGATGGAAGTTTGTTCTTTTTCTGACACCTGTAGGTTGAAGATTCTCAAGGATCATTTTGCTTATTCACTTTCTGTCAGTGTCTGTTGCTCCCTCTTTGAAGAGGACAAGCTGCTCTTCTCTTTCAGTCTAACTGTGAATCTCCTGAAACACGAAGGACTGGTCAGTAATTAAAAATAATTTTCAGTTTGATATGATATGTATTAAACTGCCTGTAGAAATTCCCAGTAACGGGAACATACAGGATAAGAACAGAAAAATAAGTTTCTATATAATTATATTACTTAAGCCTCTATTTGTGGTGGTTTATTTTCATTTTAATAAGTAATTATAAGCATTGAAAAATATTCTGTAGAAAAAAAATAAATATATAATGGATGGGTATGGCAAAGCTGAGCTAGATGATAACAGTTATTCTAAATATGACTTAAACCAAAGCCCAGTCTGTTATTCCTACATTGAACCCTTTGCAAAATTTTACTGTCATGTGTTCTGAGTTTTCAGAGTATGTAAGAATGAATTATAACCATTGCTTTAAGAAACTACTCATCTTTTTCACTTAAGGTGCTAAATGTATTTCTTTTTGCATAGAATTCCTAAAAGTCAAACACATTGGCTCATATCTTAGGTTTTTGATTCCTAAAATTCATCTTTAACTGAAAACCAGACGCTGAATACTTTGGAAATAAGCTTTTAGTAGTTGTATAGAAGCTTTTTCAAGTAGTGCAAGAATTCAGATAAATGTACTGATTTCCTACATAATGTACTAAAACTGTTAGGTTTTATTTATTTAATCCTGAGAGCCATGTTTTTCATTGTAGATTAATGAGAATGAGTGGAAATTTCTGCTGACTGAAGGCACAGGTTTGGACAATCCCTTTTCCAATCCATATACCTGGCTTCCTTCAAAATCATGGGGTGAGATTTGCTGACCAGAAGATTTGTCAGGCTTCACAAACCTTTGTAAGGATTTTACAGAACTGAAGGGTGGGTGGAAGTTGGTATATGCCAGCTTGGTATGTTAACACTCCTGATTGCCTGCATTCATGAGCTAATTAACACACTGAAAATATTTATTCAGGGAGAAGAGGAAGCTATCATTTTACATGGTATGCTCTTACATATATGAATCTAAATATTTATGCAAATGGGGTGTCGTAGTGGATTATTGCCAATTTGTCAAGTGGCTTCTGAATAGCAAGGCATGGTCTGAATTGGATTTGGAGGGATAAAAAAGGCAACAGAACCTGGAGTGGTATGGTGGTAGTGAGATTTGCTAAACTTAAGGCCACTGCTGTGCCTTCTCAGTTCTGTACATTTGTTTGCCATGGTTTGAGGATGCCTTTTTGTGCTATTATGTAATATGCTGCTTTCCTGGATAGTGCAAAAAAAAGCTTTTTCCTGGAACTGTAAAAAAAAACCCCAATTACTGCCATGCAGAGAAAGTAGAATGGGATTCAGGAGACCTGTGATTCTCTGTTCTCAGTGACTTGATATATGCATTAATGACTGTCTTTTAACTTCATCACCATTTAAACTCTTTAATTTTACTCCACATTTGGGCACTTGCTTCATCTTCAGTCTTACTACTAACTCCTTTTTAATTTTAGCATATTCTCCTCTTCTCCTGGTCAAATGACCCAGGACTTCTTACACTATTTTCAAAAAGATTAATTGTGTAGTTTATTCATTGTAATTATCAAGGATTTGGGGATCCTTTCTATTTTAAAAATGGGTTTCAAATATACCAAGGGAAAGAATGTATTTTTGGTTGGAAATGCTCATAAGTGTGAGACATTCAAGAAAATAAGTAGCTGCAACCCCCTCACTTGTCCAGACTGCAGGAAACAGTGATAGCAGAGATAAAACTTTCCTTGGGCATTTACAAAAAAAAAATATAGGAAGTTGAGGTCTTTAGTTCTTCTTTGGGAAACAGCCACTTGGAAAATGAACACAGAAATGATGGCATTTGAAAAAGAGACTGAAGGAGGGGACTACTTTGTTGTACACTTTGGGATTGTAGCTTTTTTAAGCAATGCTTAATATAAATGTAAAATGCTAACTTTCAGAAGTAAAGGTTCAAGGCATGTGTGAGAGCTATGGGCTTATTCCCACAGCAAAGCAGAAATAAATAGAATTTCCTTTAAGTGGCATTCAGTAAAATGAGATCTATATTATCAGTCAACTGATAAAGAATCTATTAAGCCAGTAACTCTGAAGTCAGGAACATTCAGTTACTGAACCTTGAGTGCTAGATCAAAAGGAATGGCTTTATCTGTCACTGTCCTGATAAAGAAGAGCTGCTATACCTTTTACTTGCTATCTGAAAATGTTTTTGTTACCTGTCTAGCTTTAGTACTTTCATGTGGAATGCACTAGAATTTTCAAAAATGCTAATTAATGGGTCTTGGTGAAGAGTCTTTTTTGATAGCTGTACTTTTTTATCACTAGTATAGTTTGTCCCCAGTAATATGCAACCAGCTCTTTTTCCCATCTCATTAGTGATACATAAATTTTTAAAAGGGAAGTTTCATGCATGTGTGTTAAGGAGAAAGGGCACAAAACCAGTGTTGCTTGAACTACTTGGTCATCAGCAACAACACACTGAATATGAATGTTTTTCAAAGGAGTTTGAGATGCACTTTTCTTCTACTGCTGTTGTAGATAAGGTCACTTCCAGAACTAGGGGAGACCTGGCTTCAACTTCCCAATTCAAATCCTATGCATTTTATCTAAAGTTCTATTGCATACCTTGGTGTAGGGACTGAAACTCCATTCTCCTCTGGCTGGCTGACTTAATTTCAAAGTTTCAAAGTTAGTTCTTCTCATGGAGAAGTAAAGAGATTTTGGCACAGTGGCACAACTCAATGGAGTCTCCAGTGCAACATTCACATTTCCTAGTTCACCCAAGATTCTACAAAGCTTGCAAATTTTTTTCCATCATGATTTGATTTACTAAATCAAAAGTTGCCCAGAATGCAGTTTGTACAGGTTTGACTGCATAGCTTTGTGCCCAGCCCTCTACAGGCAAGCCTAAGAGGCTCTCCAGCAGAGCTGTAATACCAGTTTCCACAAGAGCATACCTAGCTGGCACTCTGCTTCAGCCTAGAAAGTTCATGTGCCACACAACGACTGCTGGTCCCAGTCTGGTGACTGCAATAACAGCTGGGTTATTCATGGGACATTTACAAGTTAAGTTCTCTTGTGCATTGTTTGACTTAATTTTCCAGTTCTTGTTTTCCTGCATTCAGATGCAACCTAACTCATAGTTCTTGTGTAATACTGTCACGTGGTTGTCATTGATTATATGGTTATAGTTGTAAAATTGAGGGCTGACGCTGTAATTCAGTTCTAACAGAAAGAAGCAGGCAAAGTACATTTTCAGGTTTCTTCCACCTCATTCCTTTTCCACTTTCTAGAGAAGAACTTTGGGTTGTTATCCTTTAAACATCTAAAAAATGAGTATAACTTCTCTGCTAGAACAGAAGCTTCTTCAATAAACATGTATTTAAAGTGTTTGGGCTTTTTTAAAGCTTTTAGCATGCCAACATTATTCCTGTAGATTAAGAAAAAATACAGCATGGATTGTTGTGTCAAGTTAAAAGATAATTTACTCTCACTATAGGTAACTCATAAGTGCTTTAAAGAATGTTGAAACACATATGTTTTTAGGATCCCCAGCATGAGGATTTTCCGGCAGAGGGGCAAGCAAAGTTGAGGGAGTTCCAAAGAATGCATTTAGACAGATGTCACTATCTATGGCAAATTGCATCTGATCCAGAAAGATCAGCAAATGGTAAGCAGGAGGGTAGATGATGTAGGTGCTTAGAGAGAGCAGTTGTTGCAGACACACAGATCCTTTGTGTTCTATGGAAAGCCTTTTGATGAAGAACTGTTCTGACTTCAGCCTAACTGTAAGACTGGAGCATGGTACAGATCACAGGAGGCACTCATAGCTGTGAATCTTTATTCAAAAAAAGTCAGTCTGCTAAAAACTAGAATATAAGTATTCACTGAGACATTTTTCATCTCTTCACAGGTTAGTGAGACTACTATGAGTCCCCACCTAGGAGTTAATATGAACAGTTATGACCTCTGTTCCAGGGAGCCTAAGAAAGGAATTATCCACATTTCCTCTCACAACTCTGTAGATTTATGTTAACACTCAGATTAAAAAAAAAAAAAAATAATCTAAATGTTTACTGTATAAAGAAGAGATGATTTTAGAGTCAGACTTTACTCTTCACTTCTCTGGGATTTTTTCCGACAGGCAGCAGGAGGTTTCAGAATGTTGGGCAGATGGATCAGCACAGGGAGGCACCGGTGGCAGTGGTGGTGTGTAATGGTGCTTGGAGACAAAGTTTTCCACAAGACGTTGCCTGGTTGCAGTGACTTCTTCTTCAAAAGAATTTATTATGCTTCTGCCAATTTTGGACTTAAAACAAAGCAAAAGGTTGAGACTTTCAACTGAAAAATGTAACTGTTTCATTCGACTACATTTTAAACTTAGACCTTCAAAAACCCCACTGATCTGCCACTAATTCTAGCTTAGCAGTCTGCTTTTGGCTATGGTCAGCAGTACTGCTGTCTGTGCAGAGCAGCTTGGCAGATATTTCATATACATCCCCCTGTTTGATGCAGAAATTCCTCCATCAACATTGCCACTAGGCTCAGTTCAGTGACCACTTTTGGTTACGTCTAGTATACTTTTTGTTTTAAAGTAAATTGTGAACCTACTTTTTACCTCACATTTTTGTTTTTGAGTCTGTTTTATAGGGAACTGAGATACTTAACCTTGGCAGTCATAAGGTACATTTGCAGTAGAGAACATTATCAGTGAGCCAAAGACCTTATTTGTGCAAAACCCACCAGGAAGTAAGATGCAGAACCTGTACTCGTCAGGGAACTTGATTTGCTTAACTCTTACTATTGATAGGATTAGGGGGCATATAAAAAGATCAGCTGATCAGTTGAAGCAGCTCAGTTTTGTGTGTTTTTGTCTATGTCAACACTGTGGCATTTATGACATCCCAGAAGTGGAGAGGAATAAACTGGATAACGGCAAAACATTCAAAATAGGCTTTAAAGTGTGAAAGCTTAATCAGACTGATTTATATGTAAAACTGGACATGTTAAGCAATGATTGGTCAAATCTTGTCTTTTCATATGTGTTGTTCATCCTCCCTAAGAAGGACAGAGCTGCTCATTGTAGAGCTTCCTGGATCGATTATTTCACCCAAGATATTTTTTTTTTTTTCTGCTGTCATAACTTGTTGGAAAAACATTTCCAAAGGGAACAGGTTTTCCTTTTAAATCTAGACAACAAACTATGCTGAGAAGTGTTTAGGTGCAGATTTCCTATCCAATAACACAAATTATTACATCAGTGTAAGTCATGTTCTAGCCTTATGAAGTCACTCCTTGCTGGGGCTTGGAAATCTTAGAGAATGAAGTTCTCAGATTCAAAGATAGTTTACATTCTAGCTTTGAATGTTATATTAAAATTATTTGGTTAACACTTACGAGGAAGGTTCTCAGGCGTGTCATCTCCAGTGTGTAGTACTCCTCCAATGTCAGGTCATCAAAGTGCTTAGTAAGGGATAAAAAGCCACAGCTCTGACGTTTGGTGTGTTCCTTCCTGCAATGTAAACCCAGAATGAGATATTAGACCCGTGGAAGTTACTTTTCAAGAGATAAATACATCTGAACAGACAGGTTTTTTTGGTACTTCTACTGTTTATCAGGAGGAAAAGTATTATACAGTAAACATACAAAACGTTTTAATGGATCCGAGATAAAAGCTAATTTGAAGTATTTCAAGGTTACTGGGCAAGATGAGCTTTCAGTAGGCTTTAGTTTTGTGAACTGTTGGAGAGAAATCGGTGCTTTTGTAATGAGTAAGGGGATATTGTCAAGTTTGGAGGAAAACTTTAAATATTGTTACATCTGTGCTTACCATGGGTCATCGTTGGGTTCCCATCCCTCCAGCTCTATCAAGCAAAAGAAACACTTTGCCACATCTGGTTCGTCTGCATTTGGGCAGTGGACAAAGCCTGCCTTTGCCATCTGCAGGTGACAGTTCAGAGGTTTAGAGCCCCACCAACACACTGCCATGTTCACAGCAGTAAACTGCTCCTGAGAGCTTCCAAATAATGCCTACCTAGCAGCACAGATCAAGCTGAAAAATACATTTTAAGTGTGAGGACTGCAAGCAGGTAATAAGTAACTAGTGAAGGACCAAGGAGCAAGCTACAAGTAGTGAACAGATTTCTGCAAAGCTGTGGCACCCCCAGGCTACAGGAGTGGCCAGAGTTCTGCCAGATAACGTTTAGTAGATAGATGCCATGCTACACAAGAACTTCAGCAGCAGTACATGAGATCTGCCACAGCCAGGACTTTAAAGAATATTTTCAGAGGAAAAAAAACACACAAAAAAACCAGCAGAAGATGATGGGCATAGACAACCTTTAAATAAAAATTATGTGAGTAAAATGTTACATCTTTAACCTCTATGTTTTCCTATTATTTCTGTTCAGAACACTAAAAATTAAGTAATTTTGTTTCGGTTATCGAAATTTACACCTTCCTGGGTAACTCTTGCACTATGACTCATCCAAGATTTAGCCTGGAGGTTTCATACGTGTGCCAGAGGAGAAGTCAGGTGGATTTTTTTTTTGTTTTAATATTCAAGTCAAAGCCTGCAGGGACATAAACATTGTTTTCTAACATTTAGATATTTGCCATTTCTGAGTAATAAGTAATATTTACTATTCTACTTCATCTTTCTTGCTGAATGTGTACTTGTTTCTTCTGATACAGGCTTCTTTTTTTTTTAGGAATTAAAATACGCGATCAGAATAATACAAGGAATCAACTTTTAAGTGACAAGAGCAAAAAAGAAAACTCTATTTAATCCTGTAGTTAGTCTAATGAAGTGACCATGCAGAAGCCACTCATCCTACTATGGTATTTCTAAGCAAAGAACAGGAAAGTTGGAGCATCCAATTTTTCATCTTCAGGCTTAGTGGAAACAACTCTTGAACATGAATATACTTAACAATGAACTCATATGCAGGCACAGTACATAAAAAAATAAGGCATAGTCAATTTTCAGACTTACATTCTCTGGAGTGCACTTGCAGTTCTCTACAAAAGGCCAGTTTGTGAAGGTTTTTAAACGGTTCTCATATTCATACATATCCTTAAAGTCACTCAGGAGCTTGGAAGCCAAACCAAGCTCTTTCAACAGCCTCTCCATCTCTAAAGCCTGTAATTAGTATAGCTCAGAGCCTCTCTCCTGCTCTCGAATTTAAGGCATTTTACTAATTGGGGACACATTGCACCTATAAAGTAGGATAAGCTTTAAAGTAAAACCACAGGTGAGCTCGTGAGCAGGACAATGAAGAAAAACAAAGCTACTGGTACATCCCCTGCATCACATTCTGTGTACTCAGGCCTACTATATATTTATCACCTGAAAGCACTTATGCTAACACACTATGAAAATCACAGATTTTATAACTGAAATGTCAAAAATGCAAGTTGAAAACTCTAGTTCTGAATACAACAACTTTACATATGACTTTTAAAAAATACTGTACTGATTGTAACCCAAGTGGTTGAATTAACTTTGCTGTTTGAAACCTTTAGTGTTTCTTGAATTTCTAATCAGAGATTAGATCTTTATATCACATTTGCAAGTACTGCCCCATTTCTTTAAAGAGGAGGTGGTTATTGTAAAATATTGTAAAATACCTGTCTAGAGATAGAATGGTGATATTTCAAAGTATTATATCTGTAAGGGTTTATAGGATCAAAGCATTAAGATGTGGTTTTATAAATTGTTTCTCATTTTGGTACAGAACCCAGTTAACTTCAGTAGGAAGTTTAAACCCCAGTGAGTACAAGACTGCTGTATACAGCAGTTTTCTAAGCCAAGATCTTAACACCTTTCAAAGGTGTTGCATTAGAAGACTTAAAGATTTAAATCCTCTCTGTAATACAGGTAGAGTAAATGCAGAAAAAAAAATATCCAGCTTCCTATAAATCACTGATTTCCCTCAGACTGTACTTGTATCTAATTTTATATGCAGGAATACTGCCCTTGAAATTTTTATTAAAATGTTTAGAGTCATATGTGTTAATGCTTACACAAAAATAGGATACTATAATTCTATTTTTTTTTAGATAATACCAATGGTGCAGGATTTTATTACTCACAACCTGGGCCATCCATTTATTAAGCTGTCTCCATTTGATTTGTCTAAAGCATTTTCTGATAGAAATTCTTCTGCAGTGCTGATATTTATACTTTCTCCTAGTGCTGACCCCATGGGAGCCCTTTTTAAGTTTGCTGATGATCAGGTATTTTAATATCACCACACTTTTTTTTAATAAAAAATAAATTTTAATTAAATTTTAATAAAATTTTAGATGCCAAACCTCAAAAACCTGTTTATAACTGCCCCAAAACATGTTAAAACTGATCTCATGGTTCTCTTTAACACAAATCACTGATTAATGCAAGTGGGTTGTTTTTAGGAGTGAATAACTTGTCAACAGTTTATTAAAAATTTTTTTTGACATATTTTGTATTGTTGTGAAGTCATGGATCTATTTAACTAATTAGTTTGTATAAATTAAATGGAAAAGGGGAAAAATGGAACAAAGCTGTAATGCTTTAAGCATTCATTGTGGGGAAACTTACATTTGTTTGCTTTATAAATAACATTATGTGCAACATATTACTTAATTAAAAACCACAGTAGTACTATAGAACCTTAGGATCTTGGGTGGCATTTACATTTCAGAATTCTAATATGGAATTTTTTTTTTATGACTGTCATTATTATGGCATTTAAAATAAACAAACAAACAAATCCAAACAGCCTGTAGAAGAGTACTGTTACCATACTAGAAAGTTGTTGTTTTCTGGCAAGAAGTATTTCCTGCATTTCCTGGCTCTCATTCTGTCAGAATTCTGTGCTGTTGAGAATGACACACATCCTTCAAGTCCCCAACCACCAAGCTGCAAATGTATCCTACATTTTATAGCAGGTTGCCTACATCAGCATCTTTTCAGGAGTATTCTTACACTGTTAAGAGTTTTACAGTTCTAAATTAAATGGATGTGTAGTTGGAGGTTTCACTGGAAGACAGATATGAGGTTTTAGTCAACTTTGTGTATATATATATATATATCTCAAGAATACATACAGATTTGAGCTCTCATAGCAGAAGGTTTAGTGCATTTATGCAATATTATTCTTACTTATAATATGCTTTCTATATGCAGGGCTACAACGGTTCAAAGCTTTAGTTGCCTGTCACTTGGTCAAGGCCAAGGCCCATAGCCATGAAAATGATAGAGAAGGCAGTAAAGGAAGGAACATGAATAGTTCTGCAAAATTGCCATCTAGCAAGTTCAGGGATGCCAGTACTGGAAAGAGTCTGTGAGGTAAAAGTAAGTGTTATTATTATAAATACTTTTGAGGGCATGTCTGATCCACACAGGTGACTGGAAAGCCAGCTTAGCATACTTCATGGTGATTCCCATTATCTAAGGGTAACCAACACACATTGAGTCTGTTGCTTCCTTTTGCCTGCTGGAGTAGAAAGGGCTCATAAATTTGGTGGGTCTGGCACGTTCCTTGGATGCTATAGCCCAGCTGCTACAACAGCCTCCTCAGGCCAGGAGCTTTCGTCGTCTGTTCCTGCAGAAAAGCACTATGCTATGAAATTTTACTCTTGAACAGCTACAGGTTTCCAAAGAGATACTAGTGTGTACTTCTTTCTCTCCCCACAACCCCCCCTTAACACACTTAACACATTTCTGATGTATACCTATTATTACTGTAGCCCTTCCCAGAGCAGCTGTACGACAGCAAGTGCAGTAAATGGGCAATGGATACATTCCTTTGCCCTTGTGGCACAGAGCTTGCACTTGGTTATGTTCGTATTTTCCACAAACATGCACAGAGAGGACATTTAGTGCAAAGCCCTGAGGTCGTGAATAAAACCACACCAGCTTTAGAAAGGAAGTTTCATTTGTAATTGTGACTTTTACTATAACCACGTACAGGCATCTAAGAAATTAAACTTTGGATTGGTGTATTTTCCCACATAAAAAAGCGCAAGCAAGCTTTAATAACAACAACTGAGATACATATTAATCTATTGTGTCTTCCAATTGTCTGGTTTTATATGTTTATTGTAGGAGCTAAACCCTGATACAACACATCCAGATTTCTGAATTTGGCTCACCAGTTACCCCTTGGCCATGTCCCCAGCAGTGTCCCCCCTTGATTGTGGAGTGCAAATGACTAATGAAGGTTTTTAAACCTTAAGGTTTACAGGCTAATATACTTTTTTTTTACCTGCTGGATCCAACAGGTGATCCTGACTTTTTCAACAGATGCAAAAAAAAAAAAACTGTTAGTAACATTGTATTGTAACTTTTGTTACATTTGTTACATTAAATTTTGCTCTGGGGGAAAAAAAAACCCAACAACTTGTCCCAAATTAATTAGTTGTTTTCCACTGCAATGAAACTGGTTTTTGTTACTGCCAGAGCGAAGCAAATTTAATTTTTTATTTGATTGCTCGTCTCCTACTTCTTCAATTGAGGTTTTGTGGTATGGCATTAATAACAGAGCTCTCTATTTTATTTTTTTTTTATTAAAAGTAAGACTTGAAAAAAATCTTAACCACGCTTTTCAAAATTAGATGTCTGTTTCCATGTACATTTTACATTCTTTTACAGCATTTTTCTATAATTAATGTTGTTCTTCTAAATGAGAAGAACTAACTTTCATTTACTTTGCTAAACGGTCTCAACTGGCAGAAAACAACCCAAAAATTTTTACCTGAACGCTTTCTTTAAAGGCCTGAAATCTATGTTGATAATGAGAAAAATAAAGAGCAGAAACATTGTGTGAACAATGTTTTATAATACACTGGGCATTAAAAAACCCCAAACCCCACCAAACATTCATAGGTGCGTGGTCTCATAACTGTATGTGTCATGTATATTCACTACATACATGTGGACATGTAGCTTTACAATGAAATTTATTTGAGGGTTGACACTGTTTTACTTAGAATGGATGCTTATGAGAGCTTGATGACTTCCTGTGGAAGGCCTTTGTATGTCAAGAGAAAGCCAACCCTGACTCATCAACAGTGTGCTACCAGAGCAGGAGATGTTGGGTTTCGAGTGACTCAAAGACAGCACTGCTGTGCAGAACACGAGGGGTGGGGGGGGAAAGGGAAGTATATAACCAGTGGGGGAACCTTTCAAATTCCAGTTAAGAGGTTCTGCCATGCAAACCAGAGCGGGGTTTGTGGCACAGTGTGGCCTTATCCCTGTCTCTAGGCAGGAGTTGTGGATTCAGTTCTTGGAGAGGTTGCTGCCAGCTGTAAAACATCATAACGAAGCAGTTAATTGCTGTGATTTCTTTGGTGATAGGGATAACACTAGAGTTGGCCTCTTGCAGATTAATAACAGCCTTGATCTACTTGTGTAGACTTGGCAGATGACGTTTCCTGCCCCATTTGCAGAGCTGGGCAGTCTTATGTAGAAGCCTCTCTGGAATTTGCTGGCCATATACGACACTTCTTTATGTTCCAGCTTCCTAAGCAAGCCACAACAGCCAGAAGCTATTAAAGTTATTGCTAGGGGCAGGAAAGGGAGGTGTTATTTTCAAACCACCATCATCCTAGAGTGTTTTTTGCTGTCACTGTGGTTAAGGTGAATTGTGATTCAGCATGAGAAAGCAACTCTGTGAAAGTGTGTTTCTTTTCCTGTGGGAAAGTGAAGGGTGGAGGGGTGGCACCAAGAAGGATGTCCTCCTATCATATGACCACAGCTTATGAGTAAATAGAGTGGCTAGCAGGGAGGGAAGCTTTTTTTTTTCTTTTCTTGAAAAGTAATAACTTGTATGTAGTAAAGAGATGTCGTGGTATTTTTTTTTTTGGCTAGTTTGCTTTATCCAGTTCTCAGCTATCACCCACTGTTGCCCTGACTTCCTGTAAATATTTTTTCTCTTACCAGTCATCATTTGTTCCTTTTATGCACTTAAGAGGAGTCCACCCTCTCCAAACTCCAGACTTCAAGTGTGTTTGATTTTCCTTTCTAAAATCAAATAAAATGTATGAGCACATCTATGGTCCTGTGACAGCATCTGCTTATTTTAGCAGTATGCATAGCCAACAGGTAGAGGCAATTTGGGAAAAGTTTTCCATAAACTTGTAGCTGCA